GTACTCGCTTTACGAAATAAGAAAGTATGTATAACAGATTTTTTTAAATTTAAAGGCAAGATATTTATCTTCCGCAATATTTCTTTAATTTAGATATTTTTATTAGGGTACTATAAATATTGATCACGCGCAAAAAATACTCGAACTTAAGGTACACTCGCAGAATGATAAAAACTCAATTAATGATACAAGATCATTATCAGGTGGCGAAAGATCGTATTCGACTATTGCTTTTATTTTGGCACTTTGGGATTGCACTGGTTTGCCTTTTTATTTCCTCGATGAATTTGATGTCTTTATGGTACGTGTATATTATGACTATTATAAATGTTATGTACTATATATTACATAGTATAGGTTAGGCATAATAGCAAGTCAAATTGAGTCTCCCCTTTACACTTGTAAAATGTATAATGAAGACATTATTATATTATGAGTATAATTTATTATCAATATTTGATTCAACATTCATTAATCATTATTATTCTGAAACTAGGATAAGGTAAATCGACGAGTTATAATGGACATTCTTTTGGATCATACTAAAACACATCCACAAAGTCAGTTCACATTTTTGACTCCTTTAGACACGTCTAATATCCTTGCAGAAGATTATGTAACAATTCATAAGTAGGTGCAATTTAAATATAATACAATTCAGTCATAATGTTTTAGTATAAATTAACCCTTTCGCTACGGCGGATGTAGGAGAAAAATCACCGCTTGAAACACAAACGACATCCAGTCATACAAACGGGGCAGCAAATCGTATTTATAATATATTACCTAATTTACTGTATTGTCATAAATAAATAAGGTTTAGGAAACTATTTTACTTATAAGATATGAAGTGAAAGTGATTACTGTTAGTTATTTTACATATTTCATTTTATTCAGAAATCGTTTTACCACGCATGATTATAGTTGCTCTAAGTAGCAAAAGGGTTAAATATATTTTATAAAGTAAAAAATTTTCTGCAATATATTTTTATGTACAAATTTTTAGACTGGCAGAACCAGAAAGAGCAAGTCAGAACTAACAAGTATTATATAAATCAATATTTAAGGAGAATGAGAATTTTATCACTTCTTAACTTCTTATAAAAAACATGTGTTTATATTATTGTATTGTTTAAGTTATATGATGCATAAGAATTAAGCATTACTAGGATTACGGAATTATATTACAGAGACAAATAGTCAATTTACGTAAAAATAAATATGTATAGTTTTTTATTTTTATTGTAGGTTAAAAATGTTTTTTCCATCAAAAAATGCACGCAGGTTTTGAAATCGTGCAAAATATATTTCTATACTAAAAGTAATATATCATTTGTACCTGTTCTTATGAAATATAATTTATCTTAATATTTTCATTATTGTTTTTCTTATTTTTTGTTGTATACCATTTATAAATTACGTAACAAATTACACAAAAGCACATAAAGTAAATCCGAGAAATAGTTTAAAGGGGGAGATATTTGTTGTTCACATATATTTATGTAGTAACGTCAGAAAGTCGTCAAATTTTACGTATACTCTTATTGAATTCGTGGATCGATTATCATTTTGTAATCAATTATGAACATTATAGACAATAATGTTTTAAACGCGTTTATAAAGGAGAGTATACCGGATTGTAAATGGATCAAGGTTTGCTTCATTGTGCGAATCTGGTTTATTCATAGTTCCTGATTAACGCAATGGTTCACATTACGTATATTACACACGAACAGACCGACGCGTGCGAGGCGTGGTTATATTGTGTAATCAGCAACATTGGTACTGGCAGAGAAAGTATTGCAGACACGATGTCTGTCCGTGAATTGTTAATGAAATACAATTTCTTTAACAAACGATAAGAACAATTGAAAGCGCGAGTATAATGACCGTGTCATTGTTTACACATCTCAATTGTGTGCTTCTTCGCTTAATATCTCGACCTGATGTAAATTTTTTATGGACTCTTCAACCTTTTCATAACCTTTTGTAAACTTAAGTTTACAAAACTGAACTTGTAAACTTAAGTTTACAAAATATATTTGTTTAATTTTTGTCAGTATCATTAATACCAGTTGGATTTAAACAAACTGTTTACCAACTGGTCAATATTTAGCAAAAACTTAGCTAAACGTTTACAAATTAGTAACACAAAGAGAAATAGTGGTTGTATATCTACGTAATCTACCAATTTTAACGAAATTCAATTTTAATAGAGATTTTTCAATTTATTTTCAATAAAGTTCAAGAAAATTATTTTCATTTATACGTATATCATGGTCTAGCATAATATTGTACAGTAAAAAGTAAGCAGGTATTCTATTAATTGTGTGCACTAGCGACATTTGTGCATACTCGCTGTGTAATGTAAGTACATATGTATATCTGTCGATAAATGTCTCGAAATTGAAAAAGTTAAAACACAAAAAGACTAAGGGTGTACAAGAACAGAATGAAGTAAAAGCGAGAAATAAGTACGAAAAAGAATGGAAAGAAATAATACAACCATTTTATATACTTGCTAAACGAACCGTGCTTTATTCGACAAACATTATTCCTAAAGACAACAGATCAGATTCAGTGGATGAGGGCTTGGGCTGGGGCGGCGTATGCGAGACGGGCAGCACCTGGGGCAGCATAGGCAAGGGGGGCAGCAGCTGGAGCAGCATAGGCAAGGGAGGCAGCAGCTGGAGCAGCATAGGCGAACTGAGCAGCTGGGGCAGCATAGGCGAGGGGAGCGGCAATCTTGGCGACTGGGGCGGCATAGGCGACTGGTGCAGTTGCGAGTTTGGCCACAGGGGCGGCGTAGGCGACTGGAGCGGCGGCGAGTTTAGCAATTGGAGCAGCGGCGATCTTGGCTACTGGCGCGGCAATGAGAGGAGCGGCGGCTGCTTCTTTACGAACGACAGCGTTGAATCCGTTAACTGGATCGGCGGTGTAGTCAACGATACGTCTGGTTCCGTCAGCCTCGAGGAGGGAGTAGCTGCCCTGAACTACGTCTCCGTCACGGGTTTCCTGTTGGCTCTTGGCATCGCCGGTAAGGCTGTCGTGCACATCGTAAGCGTAGCTGTATTGAGGATGGGGGTCGTATTCGTCGTCCACTGCCTTAGCCACTACCGTTTTGGTCACTGGAGCAACCACAGTCTTAGCCAGTGGAGCAGCTACTGCCACTGGGGCAGAGTAAGCCAAATGCGCGGCTGGTGCGTAGGATAAAGGAGCCGCTGCAGGTATAAGTCCAGCGTTTGCGGCTGCTACGAGGGCGGCGAAAACAATAAACTGCAAACAAATTGTTTGTTCGTTAGAATTGTTATAGATTTAAACGATTATAACCGGTTGATGAAAGCAGCGCTACTAAATAGTATGCGTAGGGTTATCGAAATCGAGAACGTATACATGCGTTCTATTTCTTTACCATGAGTTTGGAATTAAAGAGCGTTAATCGAAAATCGACATCAAAGACTTGAGACGTTGCTATTTGTTCACGAGAGAGAAAAGAAAAAGGAAGAAAAGAATAAGAATAAAAATATAATTACTCTAAATCGCGCATTAAAAGAAAGACAAGTATAAATACGAAAGTACGTGTATGAAAAGTTTTGCGATTACGCATCATGGAATGTCTTTTGATAGTCGAGGAGAAAACTTAAAGATGCTCTCGAAACGGGTTACGAGTGTTCTGGAGTTCGTAATACCTTGAAGGCCATTGTAGCTTGCTTGATTTGTAGATCTCTTGATCTGTCTGTCTGTGATGCGAATGATACTACAGACGGGTGGTTTTCGGCTTTTATACTGCACGAGCAGGACCCACGGGCACGCTGACGTAACTGGGTGACGGTACCTTCGACGGTCACCCGATTTGCGGCCGTAGAGTGGCACAAAATTGAGCAAGAAATCGAACCACGCCCATCACGAACAATTCGATCAGCGACGATACTCGTTGGACCATCATGAACACCGTCTCCGTCGACTAGGCCACGTCCTTGCCACGAGTTACTTAATCCTTCCGTGGACTTTTCGTCGAGGGAAACACGTTAACAGTTTTCTTCCCTATATATTTTTTGTATTATTAGTTATTTCTGAGAAGAAAAATTTATCGTTGTTTCTTCTTGTTTTTCTCGAATTTTTTCTTGTCGATTTAACACAAAGTATACATTGTCATCTCTCGTTTATTTCGTTTCTTTCATTTAGATACTTATTTTTAGGTTATCTATTTGTTGTTATGTTTGATGCATCAGAGGATACACATCGCATTATGTATATCATAGTGAAACTAAATGAAATTACGCTATCCGCAAAATTTAAATGAGATCTTGAAAAGAATGTTTTAATGAATTTTTTATTAGTGTTCATTTTAACGATTAGGAAAGAAACATGCATTTAGATGAAGAAAATGTAGCGATCGGTGATTCGTTTCAATCCATTTTGGTATTAACTTATCTTTTAAAAAATAACAATTTATATTCTCGAACAAATGTTTTCGTATTATTAATTCTTGTGCAAAACATATGCACATTGTTTTTAACATTTTTAAGATTTTCGCTTAAGACACGTGTCATTTATTACTGATTCTGTATATCTTTTGTATATATTATAATTTTTAATTTGTCACAGGAACATTTGCATTTTTTTTTTCTTTCAATTTAGAGTTAATTGACTGTTTAGAATAAAACAGAAAGAACTTGTTCCCTTTTTTGTCACATGCATAAACCTATGTAATTAGGTATAAATTTATGCACAAACGCTTACAATTTGCATCCAGATAAAAAACATAATGTATATAAAATTAAAAAAAAAAGATTGTCTTTATTCTCTGATTTCACAGTATTTGCAAACTTTTTTGCGTCTAATGCGCATGAGCAGAATAAAGCCAGCCCATGGCGTCATTTGTTTCAGATTATGAAACTTTTTATGAATGTCAATTGAATATTTTCATTTAATTCAAAATAAAAATTTTGAATTACAATTTTCAAATTTTATTTTTTAATTCGAATTAAAAATTTTGTCAACACTTCAGAATTGATTATTTTCACTTCACTTGTAAATTGGCAATGTATTCGTTTAAAAAATTGAACGAAACTCTGGTAAAAGTAATAATAGCAACAACATTAATATAGTAGAAAGCTGGACTCTCTCTTTACAGTTTAACATAACACGATACGTTTCTCTAAGTTTTAGTATAACAAAGCATAGGAAGATAAGGGTAGTTACTTCATTTTACTTTCGTTTCATTATTATACATTTTCAAACAGGAAAACAGCTGATTCGGTCGTATGTCGATGCAATCTACAAGAGGAATAAAGACGAAAAGAGAAATGTGCATGCTAAATTACCATAATTACGATTCATCCGTTTCGGTGAACTCATTTTGCACGAAGAATGATCGATCTTCGTAAGTATCGATTAAAATATTAACGCCTCTTTCGATGAAACACGATCAAATTAAATCGCAAAAAAATAAATTTATATACAAACGTTTAATATAAAATCTTGCAATACTACTTTCTACTCCTTTTTTATATATATTTTCAATTAGGCGTAAATGAAATATCATCGATACATCTTTATTAACCACTGAAATGTGAAACAAATTTTTAACAATTCTTCTTACAGTCTTCGGCAATACTACATCTCGCCTGAACATGCTTTTAAAAACGTATAAAAATAAAAAGGATACCCAAAATGCGTATATTTAATTTTTATTACTATCCATTTTAGATCGTAATGTAATTACATGGCCATTTACAGTTCGTAGCTGATGATCTCAGTTGTTAACTGGAAAATTCTTCCAACAGAATTTATCACTGTAATATGCTACGATCAATTTATCAACGTGCAACATATCGTAAGTACGAAGCGCTGTCGTTCGTATCGTTTGCGTGAAAAATTCTATTACATTTCAGGTGTGTGGTAAATGTACAAATAAAATGAAATATCGTAATCAATTGAGAGAATGACAAGTTTCAACGATAACATTGTTAAATTACGCTCTGCGACGAATCGGAGAAATTTCACAAAATGTCTTCAAGGCGCAGATTTTCGTACCGAAGGGGGCACCGTATCGAAAATAGCAAATTTACTATAGGTCATTGGTGCAAAAAAATTGTATCGGACGACCTTGAGCTCTTCCATAATTGGTGGAAACAACTGGTCTTCTCGCAGTATGAAAAAATAAGAAGAGAATGAGGTTATGTACCAGTGACGCAAGAAGTTGATGACGTAAGACTGATCGGATTTTGCCCGATTAATGATATATAGGTAAATTTTTATTATCGGAGCATTATTACTTTTCTTACTGAACTTTCTCCTTATCTGTACATCTTCTTTTTCAGTATAGATACGCAAGGATTCGTACACCAGTCGAAGGTCTAAGATACATTTTAATGGAAACATGAAAACATCTTCTGTATATATATTAGTAAGAAAAGGACATACTTTTGAATAGAAAAAGTGTAATCTTTATTCATATTTGTTAATAGACGTTTTTTTATTAAAACATTCTTATCACAAAGAGAACTTTTATCGTCGTAATGGAAATGTAAAATAATGGTGTAAATCTTTTGATGAAGTTATAGTTGTGCTGGTGATTATGACAGTGGTCTAAGTAAAAAATCTAAAAGAACTGAATTTATCACTTGTTTTGTGTCGCGTTGATCTTTTCATAGAAAAGAGTTATATTAGCAAGTATTTTGTGGAATATTTCATTGCACAATGAAAAATTATTTTTTAATATACCTAAAGGGGAAATTCTAAATATCTCAATACGAAAATTATGCGACTTAGGCCATTCTCATAATCATCGGCACAATTATGAATTCACCATCGATGAACTAAAATCAAAGTAAATGTAATATCGTTTTTTCTTAACACTTACTAGTGAATTGGATTTTTAACTCAGTGTCTGTTATAAATGTACCAAAATTAATTCTTTTAAAAATTGGATATTGATAATAAATATTGAATTTTTTTCAAATTCAACGTAAGACTGTATTTTTGAAGCAATCGCCAACGAATGGAAACGGCTGCTTTATAACAGCAGTCTTAGAACAAAATTCACCAATTCAAATCTTAATATATATTTTCATATTTAATTTTTCCTCGAGTAGAACGAAATATAATTAAAAAATATTTTTCACGCGAACATCGTACTAAAATTCATTCGATAAAACACAATGGACATGTAATACAATCATTTATTAGCCATTTCGCAGATTGTTATACGGGCCACTCAGAAGCCAAGCTGACTAACTCCGTAAAATATAATTTATTAAATTTCTTTCATTGATGAAAAATTACGCGTGTGTTTTGATACTAAAATTGAAAAAATATGAATAAGTGGAGTCGATCATTTTGACTCCGTATTTTCGAACATGTTAAATAATAATCGTCAATGTGTAAAAGTGGATTTCTGAAATGGACATCGTAACAACTAGAACAATTTGAAATTTGCAATCTATCGCTGAAAAATCCACTTTTGTTCGAAGAAAAAAAAATTCGACATTTCGAAGTAATGCCCCAGCTGTGTCTACTGAAAATTAGCTGGCGTTGGCGCAATTAACAGGCGCGAACGTGTAATACCGGCGCGGAAAGAGTAGGAATAGGCCAGTACGCAACAAGTGCGGAAGACCTAAATTCGAGTTGTGACATTGATTTCACGCGAACTACACGGCGCGGTAGCATTTTTGGGTATGCCAGGTTTGGGCAGGTACGAGCCTCGATTCTGGATCAAGATCTGGATGGTATAGTTCTCGGATGGCCCGAAGCTATTTAATCGATCAATGTGGGCCTCGCAATTCACCATGGCCCTGCCTATTTTTTCTATATGAAAGTGCTCCACTTCTGTTTACCGGTAACGTTAGATGTGACGCAACGATCGAGGTAGATCGGGATCCAGCGGGCCAGTTTGACACGTATATCGCTTGAAAGTTTCGCGACCAGCTCGTACCAACCAATTCTCCTCTTCTTTCCTTCTTTTTTTTTCTTCCTTCTTTCTTTCCCTTCCTTTTGCTTCTTTTACGCCCGGCGCTCGGAATTTGGTGAAATTTTAGAAGATCGATTTGCAGTTCGTT